TGGAGCAACATGAACTCTCATGCATTGCTGAGGGGACTATAAAATGGTACAACCACTTTGGAAGACAATTTGGCAGTTTCCTACAAAACTAAAGATAGTCTTACAATATGATCTAGCAATCACACTCCTTGGTATTTACACAAAGGAAATGAAAACTTAATTCCACACAAAAACCTGCACACAGATGTTTATAGCAACTTGATCTCTAACTGCCAAAACTTGAAAGAAACCAAGATGTCCTCCAGTTCCTGAATGGATAAATAAACTGTGGTACCACCAGACAATGGAGTATTATTCAGCACTAAAAAGAAATGAGCCATCAACCTATCAAAAGACATGGAGGAATCTTAAATGTGTATTACTAGTGAAAGAGGCCAATCTGAAAAGATTACATACTGTATTTTTCTAACTATATGACATTCTAAAAAAGGCAAAACTATGGAGACAGTAAAAAGATCAGTGGTTTCCTGGGGTTGGGAGTAAGTGGAAGGGATGACTATATAGTTCACAGAGGATTTTTAGGTCAGTGAAACTATTCTGTATGATATTTTAATGGTAAATACATATCACTATACATTTGTCCAAATCCATACAATGTTCAACACCAAGAGTGAACCATACTGTAAACTATGAAGACTTGGGGTAATTATGATTTGCCAATGTAAGTTCACCAATTGTAAAAAATGTACCACTCTGGAAGGGAGTATTCCTAATGGGGGAGGCTGTGTATGTGTGTGGCAAGGGGGTTTTTGGTAACACTATGCACCTCTCTCTCAATTTTGCTATTAACCTAAAAGCGCAATAAAAAAAATTAAGTCTTGGGGGCGCCTGGGTGGCTCAGTGGGTTAAAGCCTCTGCTTTCAGCTCAGGTCATGATCCCAGGGTCCTGGGTTCGAGCCCCACATTGGGCTCTCTGCTCAGCAGGGAGCCTGCTTCCCCTCCTCTCTCTCTGCCTGCCTCTCTGCCTACTTGTGATCTCTGTCAAATAAATAAATAAAATCTTTAAAAAAAATTAAGTCTTGGGAACCTGGGTGGTTCAGTTGGTTAAGTGACTGCCTTCAGCTCAGGTCATGATTCTGGAGTCCCAGGATGGAGTCCCAATTCTCCCTCTGACCCTACCCCCTCTCATGCTCTCTCTTTCTCTCTCTCTCAAATAAATATTGTTTTAAAAAATATGTGGGGACACCTAGGTGGCTCAGTCATTAAGCATCTGTCTTTGGGCTCAGGTCATGATCCCAGGGTCCTGGGATTGAGCCCTGCATCCGGGTCTCTGCTCAGCAGGAAGCCTGCTTCTCCCTCTTCCACTTCTGCTTGTGTTCCCTCCCTTGCTATGTCTCTTTCTCAAATGAAATAAAAATATTAAATAAATAAATATTAAAAACATAGAATGTACAATACCAAGAGTGAACCCTAATGCAAACCATGGACTTTGGGAAATAATGATATGTCAATGTCAACTATAACAAATCAATCAGTCTGGTGGCGGATGTTGATCATGGGGGAGGCTGGCATGTGTGTTGGTAGGGGATGTATGGGATTTTTCTGTACCTTCCCCATAATTTTTCTGTGAACATAAAACTGCTCTGAAAAAAATTAAATTTATTTAAAAATATACATATATTTTTTTCAACACAAAAAAATCCTTAACATAACTCACTTTCATAACAAAGTAATAGGTATAGTAGTTTATTTTTTACTGCAAGGAGGAGACAAAATTAGGTATTTTTGTAAAACATTTATTCCAGGTAAGATTTTCACCCTGCCTGAAATGTTATGGTAATCTTAATTACATGCTTATTAAGAAAAATGAATCTGGCTGTTACCATAGAAATTACCAGGGATGGTTAGTGCCTCCATGAATTGGGCAGTTATACCTGTTGGGCCACTTAATTCTGAACTTACAGGTTCCTGTTTAACAAGGAAAGGCTAAAAATGTCTCCATTTGTTTTAAAGAATGGCTAATACACTCATGGGGAAATGCAAATTGAGGTAAATGGAGCACGCACATACACATGGAGATATGCCACACCACACCATACCGTATCACACCACAGCACACACCACTAAAATGGCTGGTAAAAATTGGGTGGCTGCTGACTGCTAGCTTTGTTTCACTCTCTTCTGATTACATTTCCCTGTCCAGAATCCTCTGATGTTCACTTTTACCTGTATGAAGAATACTGGATTATTGCAATTATATTGGGTTAATGGGGAAGTATGTATTTTATTTTGCTGGGCTGAGTAAGAAAGCTTACAGCTGAGATTTACTACAAGCAATCTTCTAGGCATGTCTCCCTTTGCCAACATCTGAAGCAGTCTTCTACAAGCAGGTTTCAACTGGACATCAAGAATATAAACTCGGGGCGCCTGGGTGGCTCAGTGGGTTAAAGCCGTTGCCTTTGACTCAGGTCATGATCCCAGGGTCCTAGGCTCAAGCCCCACATCCGGCTCTCTACTGGGCAGGGAGCCTGCCTCCCCCCCCCCCACCGCCTACCTCTCTGCCTACTTGTGATCTCTGTCAGATAAATAAAAAATCTTTAAAAAAAAAAAAGAATATAAACTCATTCATGCAAACACACTGTGCCTTGGGTTCTTTCTAAATCATATATACTTCAAGAGAGCATGATTCTAACACCAGGACCGTCTCCTCCCCAATTCCTTAGGAATGGTGAACCAACATACTCACATTTAATATGCCCACTTTCTCTTATCACATACCATGTATTATTGACTACAAAATAAGCCTTAGCAGGTGCTCAGCTGTCACTTACTTGCTGTGCGGCCTCAGTCACTTATTTCTTTTTCAGCTGAGAAGTTGTAACAGCATTTAATAAATTTATATACTTGGGAATATTCTGAGGGCTTCAAGTAATGGCCACAGTTTGTGTTTTAAGACACTGACATTTTGTCTACCTAGTTCAGCTCAGAGAACAGCAACTGCAGAACTTTCTACATACAAAGGACTTAAGGACTAAAGAGTCATGCTAAGTTTCATGAATACTAATTACATTTTCAGAAATCCTTTTTAAAAGGTGAAAGATTACAGAGTGGCTAAAGTTATGCCAACAAACATATAGGCATATGCATACCCCAGCAGTATAAAGCCTAGTCTTAAGTGGTAAGAGAAAAAAAAAAAAAAAAAAGAAGAACCTACAAACCCAGTGATATTGCTAATGAGCCATAAAGCCCTCACTAATCCTCTAGAACTAGATTTTAACCTACCACTCCCCACTCTAAATATCCAACTGACGTTAACTTTCATACTAACTATTGCTTTTAAGAAAACCTTTCTGGGTGCCTGGGTGGCTCAGTTGGTTGGGCAACTGCCTTCAGCTCAGGTCATGATCCTGGAGTCCTGGGATCGAGTCTCCTATCAGGCTCCCAGCTCCATGGGGAGTCTGCTTCTCCCTCTGACCTTCTCCCATCTCATGCTCTCTCTTGCTCTCTCTTTCTCTCTCTCTCTCTCTCTCAAATGGATAAATAAAATCTTTTTTTAAAAGCTTCATTTCCATGCACCCCATGTTTATAGTTTATAGCAGCATTCTTTACAACAGCCAAGATACAGAAGAAGACCAAGTGTTTTATATATTTGTTATATATTATGTATTTAAAGAAATATTATTCAACTATCAAAAAGAATGAAATCTTCCCATTTGCAATGATATGGATGGAGCTAGAGTATAATGCTTAGCAAAATAAGTCAGTAAGAGAAAGACAAATACCATATGATTTCATGCATATGTGGAATTTAAGAAACGAAACAAGCAAAGGGAAAAGAAAGAGAGACAAATCAAGAAACAGACTCTTAATTACTGAGAACAAACTGATGGTTACCAGAAGGGAGGAGGTGGGGGGAAGGGTGAAACAGGTGATAGGGGTTAAAGAGTGCACTTGTCCTGAGGAGCACAGAATGATGTATGGCAGTACTGAATTACTATATTGTACATCCGAAACTAATGTAACACTGTATGTTAACTGGAATTAAAATTAAAACTTAAAAAAACAATTTTAAAAAGCTTCATTCCATGTTTTGGGTCTGATATTGAGAATCTTACCAACATGAAAGTCTGGTGACATCAAAAGATGATGCTTATCAAGCAGTCTTTCTCCAAGCTCCAGGGAAATCAAAAAACAAAAACAGCGTGTGCTGTGGATCACTCCCTCCTCCTTTTCCAGGTATGGAGCAGCTAAAAGGAGGTAGCTATGACATACACTACTTTCCAGTTCTATTTCAAGTCCAAGTAATAAGATGGGAAACTACAAGGTGTCTCCTATGGTGGATGTCTGGGGTCTATCTCTAACCCGAAACAGGAAGCTTGACTTTGCTTTGACAGACATCCTCTTGCAGCCCTTTGTCCCTGCTCTGCAACTTACTAAGGCTTTCCAATTTAATACCAATATTCAGAAATATGTTAGTGAGCAAACACATATAGTAGATACATATATCTATATTGATACATAAATACATTACATATACATATGGCGGACAACATTCAATTTTGGGCCCCTGGCTTGCTTGCTCGCTCGCTCTCTATCTCTCTCTCTCTGTACACCACACACACACACACACACACACACACACACACTTCAAGTTCAAATCCAGCAAGGCACCCTGAGCGCCTACACCTTTCCACCCACCCAGGAGAGGTAAAGGCAGGAGCCGCGAGCAGAGGTTAAACCAGACAGCAGCCAAAACAAACACCACTTCCAAAACAAGGCAAACTTTGGGTCTGGGCGGCTGCAGAGCCCCAGCAATGGCCGGGGGAGGGGAAGGAGCGTCAGTCTGTCTCAGGGGAGGAAGACGGGTAGCGCACCCAGCACTCCTGAGCTGCAGAGGAGGCTGGTGTTCCCCGGGGGACAAGGGCGTCGCCGCCATCCCCGACTTCGACCTGGCCGAGGCCTCCAGGTCCTTGGGCTGCCCTATCGCCCCACCCCGCCCCCTTATCCCCACAGAAATGGTCCCCACAGACCTGCTGTGGCATAGGGGCGCGGGGACCTACCTGGTGCAACGTCTCGGCGGACAGCTGCGACGCCCGGAAGAGGTCGGCCACGGTGCCCGCGGCTGCGGTGACCGCGCCAGGGACGGCCCTGCCGGCCTCAGGGGGCCCGGACACCGGGCCCCCGCCTGCGGCGCCGGCGCAACGCGCGAAGAGCTCGGAGTAACACTGCTGCTCGCCCTCGCTCAGCAGCAGCGGCGGCCCGGAGCCGCAGCCCCCGCCCGCCGCCGCCTCCATGGGGCCCGGAACGGGGTCCGACGGAGCACCGTCACGGGGTACGGAGCCGCCGCCTTCGCCTCAGCCTCCGCCGCCTCGGTCTCGGCCTTGGCCGTCGCCGCCACCGCCCCCACGCCCCGCAGCTGCCGCGCTGCCGCTTCCTCCCGGCGCGCGCCGGCCCCGCCCCCGGACTTGAATGTTGTGCCTCCGCCGCGCGGCACATGGAGACAGGCGCGGGGAGAACCAATCGCAGCCTGGGATCGCACCCCGGCCCCGCCCCCGCCGTCCCACCTCGTCCCACCTCGCCCCGCCTCGCCCCGCCCCTGGCCGCGCCAGGTAACTAACTCCGCGGGCCGCCCACCCCGCGGCTGGTCACCTGCCCCGCCTTCACTCCCGAGACCCGGAGGGCGGGGGCCAGCGCTTGGTGCACCCACCCAGCCCGGGAGGGGTGTCTTTGGCTCTCCGGCCTGGTTGGGAAGGGAGGCAACTAGACCCACCTGGAGTATGGCGCTTTTCAGGGGGCGGAGAAAGCTGTGCTGATTTCTCCCTAGAACACTGAAGCAGGTGCGGTGCTCTTAGCAGAAAAGGGAGGAGGCATGAGAAATTAAGCTTCCGTTTTTTCATACCAGTAGCGCTTCTGTCCTGAACAGCTGGAGGACAGAGATCTCCATACGAACCGCCCATAGCGTTTACCGGAGCGATTTAGGCCGGTTTCTCAGGTCTAGCTCAAACCTGGAGTTGAACCTTAAAAAGGAATAGCGTCAGTTAGTGTTTAATACTAGATTAATAACAGTAAAAGGGGTCCTGGGAAGAAGAATTGCATATATATATATATATATATATATATATATATATCACCAACACAAAGAAAAAGTAAGTCCAGTATTAAGCACTAATAAAAAACACATTTTAGAATTTAATAAAGAGATATATCTTTAACCCCAAATAATTTTATTTTAATTAAAAACAAAAACTATCACGGGGCGCCTGGGTGGCTCAGTGGGTTAAGCCTCTGCCTTCAGCTCAGGGCATGATCCCAGGGTCCTGGGATGGAGCCCCGCATCAGGCTCTCTGCTCCGCAGGGAGCCTGCCTCCACCTCTCTCTCTGCCTGCCTCTCTGCCTACTTGTGATCTCTGTCTGTCAAATAAATTAAAAAAATCTTAAAAAAAAAAAACTATCTCAAGAAATAGCACCGATGGTAACAAATATACTTTGGTATTTGGGGCAACTAAAATAAGGAGGAAGGACAGGAAGACGGGGGCGGGGAGGGGATCAACAGGTAGTAAAGGAGGGAGGGAATACATAAGAAGAAAAATTATGAGGGCACCTGACTAGTTGAATAGGTAGAGCATATGACTCTTGATTTTGAGGTCGTGAGTTCAAGCCCCACATTGGGCATAGAGTTTATTTAAAATAAATAAAAGGCTGAAGAAGAAGGAGAAGGTGGAGGAGGAGGAGAAGGAGAAGAAGAAGAAGAAAATTTATATCAATTCAGCCAGAGTAAGATTTTCCTTTTGGAATCTAAAGACATGAAATAGAGAAGAGGATCCACTCCAAAAGCAGGAAGTTCTCAACTCTTCACTAAGATTTCCTTTTACCACATTTTGCTTTAGACCTGACCAGGAGAGAATGAAGACAGTCATAAATAAGCTTGCAGACAAGAGTACAGAAAGGATAGTTAAGTAAGGGACAGCAAAGACTATCTTAGCTGGGGAATTTCCATTTCAAAATCCAACCACCTACTGTATTTGCCACAACCATAAAAATTTCTCAGGAAAACTGAAAGCCAAGAGATCATGTTTACTCTGTTCCTACCTTTTTACTCATACTCAGGATTCCCTGAGAATGACCCACCATTCTAACAGAGGTTAGAAAGGGACCCGCTCTTCATGATAAAAGCCAAACTCTACTTTTCCCTGTAACACTTAGGGAAAGAAATGTGAGGTATACTAATCCCTGACATTCATACAGTTCAAAGCTACATTATCTCATTTAAGTTTCCCAGTAACTCTCTGAGGTAGGCTGGGAAAATATTTTCATCTTCATCTTGCAGATGAGAAAATGGATACAGAGATGGTGTGATTTACCCAACTGAATACTAGATTCTGAGCTGCTCTTCATTACTCAAATCAGTTTAATAGATTTGACAGATATTCATCAGCACCACGGATACTGCAGAAATGCGTACAAAGCCTTACATCTGTGCCTATCTATCACGTCACACTGATTGGTAGAACAGGAAGTATTAACTGTGTCCTTACTGGAGTACTGTGAGAGGTTTAAAAAAATACAAGATGTGTTCCTTTCAAGAACTCTGCGGCTTCACTGGAAAAGACAAAACTAACACAACAAATAGAAACAAACAATAAAAGACAATATATAATTAAGTGCTAAATCGTGTACCCCGGGCTAAGTGTCGTGGGAGTTTAGAGAAGAGAGAAAATCCATGAACCAGAGCCCAGCCGGGAAGTTTTAATCAAGAAGGCACCCAGATAGATGTTACAAATCCATGGGACTGGGGGAGGCAAAAGGAAAGGACAGAGGGGGGACGGGGCGGCTCACAGGAGAGGGAGGAGCCCCAGACACTTGGTACCAAGGAAGGGTTAAGTGTGGGACAGTGGGCTGGTGTGGGAGGGTGGGGGGCAGCCACTCTGGAGCTCTGGGATGCCAGAGGGAAGCTGCTCAATGGGGGACAAGAGGCAGAAGTGACCCACCAACAGTAACAATTAAACCCGGGATGCAGGAGGAAAAAGGCATTTTTAAAATGTTTTAATATCTAAGGAATGCCAAGTGCTGTTCTTTACTTCTAGAACAGTTTTTTGAATAAAAGAAATGGTTATCAAACTTCAGAGTAAACCCAGGTAAGAATGTAATGACTAGAAACACTCGTATCCCTTAAGGATGACAGTAAACAAGAGTGTTTTAGAAGAGAATTTCTTTTTACCTTTTACAGTTCTAAACTTCCACATTTGTTTGGGCTCCATCATGGCTAGAGGGGCCAGAATGACAATACAGTTGGCCTTTAAACAAGGCAGGGGGTAGGGGCACCAACCCCCATGCACTAGAAAATACATGTCTGTCTAACTTTTGAGTCTTCAGCAACATAACTAGAAGTCTTATAGAGAGCAAACCCAGTTGATTAACATACATTTTGTACATGTATTATATACTATATTCTTACAATAAACTAATCTAGAAAAAGTGCTATTAAGAAAATCATAAGAGGGAGCACCTGGGTGGCTCAGTCCTTAAGCATCTGCCTTTGTCTCAGGTCATGATCCCAGAGTCCTGGGCTGCTTCTCCCTCTCTCACTCCCTCTGCTTGTGTTCCCTCTCTGGCTGTGTCTCTCTCTGTCAAATAAATAAAATCTTTTTTAAAAAAAGAAAATCGTAAGAGAAAATACGATTTAAGTACTACACTGTATTTATGGGGGGGGGGAATCCACGTATAAGTGGACCAGCACAGTTCAAACCTGTGTTGTTTAAGAGTCAACTATATATTCAGGAACAGCCAAGACAGAGTCTTTTTCTTTTTTTAAACCAAGAATATGTTTTGTTTTGTTTTTTTGTTTTAAAAATTATTTATTTGACAGAGAGAGATCACAAGTAGGCAGAGAGGCAGGCAGAGAGAGGGGGAAGCAGGCTCCCCGCTGAGCAGAGAGCCTGGTGAGGGGCTTGATTCCAGGACCCTGAGATCATGACCCCAGCTGAAGGCAGATGCTTAACCCACTGAGCCACCCAGGCGCCCCAGCCAAGACAGAGTCTTTAAGTTTTGCTTTTTACTTTTAAATCCAGCCTCAGTGCCCTGCATAAAGACAACTGAACAAACTCAGAACAAGGTGCTAGTTACCTGAGGGGAAGAGTTTCTTTCCTAAAGCAGGGGTTGGAAAACTAGCACCAGTTGTCTGGTTTTATTTTTGGAGAGAAAGAGAGAGTGGAGAGGGACGGAGAGAGAGAGAGAGAATCCCAAACAGGGTCCACGCTCAGTACGGAGTCCAATGCGGGCCTTGATCCCACAGCCCTGAGATCATGACCTGAGCTGAAATCAAGAGTCAGAAATTTAACCAACTGAGCTACGCAGGTGCCTCAGTTATCTGGTTTTGTATGGCTCGCGAGCTAAGAATAGGTTGTAATTTTTTTTTTTTTAGCAGACTCCACACCACACGTGGGGTTTGAACTCATGACCCTGTGATCAAGAGTCATGTGTTCTACTGACAGAGACAGCCAGGTGCCCAGGTTGTACTTATTTTTTTTTTTAAGTAGGCTCCTTGCTCAGCATGGAGCCTAGCTCAGGACTTGAACTCACTGATCTGAGATCAAAGCCTGACCTGAAATCAAGAGTCAGACACTTGGGTTCCTGGGTGGCCCAGTAGGTTCACCAACTCACTCTTGATTTCAGCTCAGGTCATGATCTCAGGGTCCTGGGATCACGCCCCAGCTCAGGCTCTGCACTTAGCAGGGAGTCTACTTGAGATTTTCTCTACCCCTCCCCAAAATAAATAAATAAATCTTTAAAAAAAAAAAAAGTTAGAGGTTTAACTGCCTGAGCCACTCAGGCAACCCCTGGGTTGTACATTTTTTAATGGTTGAAAAATATGGCTTTCTATAGACTGAATAATATTTCAGGACATGTGAAAATTATATGAAATTCACATCTCAGTATTCATAAGACGAATTTTACTGGAACACATCCAGGCCCCTTCACTTATGCGTTGCCTATGGCTGTTTTCGAACTAGAAAGGCAGAGTTGAGTCATTGCTAAAGGTCTCTGGACATTTACAGGAAAAATTTACTGATCCCTGTTTTATAGTACGGAAACCTAATCTTTTCTTTTCTTTTCTTTTTTGAGACCTAATATTTTCTTATACCTACAGCCAATTCATAGGTTACCTAGGCAGGGGATATACACAGAATTCTATCCAACTTCTCTGAGCTTCAGAATTTTCATTGAGATTTTGAGATCATATTTCAAAGATTATAAACTTTAAAAATTACTTGGTGAGGGACTAACCAATGTAAACACTAAATAATCACCTGTTTGACTGATTTTTTTTTTCTGGAAGTGAAGAAAGATCTTTGACAGTGTGAGAGGGAATCCTATTCCCTTGGCCACATTTTTTCTTGAGAAATTTCCTCTCCAA